GACGACCAGGACCAGTCCGACGATGAGGATTGCCACGACTGCCACTCCCGGTCCGCCCCGATCTCTGACGTCGTCTTGACCTTCCACCGTCTGTTCTGCTTCTTGTTCGGACCCGGGGCCTGGACCTTGTGGTCTGACGTCATCGGCTTGGCCTTTGGCGGGGTTGGCGTTGGTCCTGGTGAGTCTGACACCAGGTCCGCATGAATGCCCCTGGCCTTTGGATCTGACGCCGCTGCCTTCGATCCCGATGCCACGCTCTCTGACTTTGCCGCGGCCTTGAACGTCAGACGTGGCTCGATCACTGTCAGACGCTCTCTGGGGTTTTCCTCGAACGGTGACGACACCGGCGAGGTTGGCGTCATAGCCGGCTCAGTCGGAGTGTAATTCGTCTGACTGGGGCTCCTTGACCTCGACGGTGACCTTGTCGTCATCTTCGTCACCGGCGTCTGACCAATGCCGTCCTTCGGCTCAGCGCCCGTCGGCTCTTCTGTCGTCTTACGAGCGCCCTCCTCCTCAGGCACCGGGGGGAGTGGCTGATTCCTCGTAGTCTGACGCTTGGTGTTGAAGTGCGGCATCCCTTTGAGCTCGGGCTTGCGCTGGCGCACCATGGCCAAAAATCTGTCTGACCACAGCTAGAGGACTCACTCAAACCCACACGCAGTCAGACGAGTCATGAAATACCGATTGAAACTCCTGAATATCAATGATCAGAATCATAATCTGAAATCTAATCATCGCCGATGTCTTACACTGAGACTGACTAGCTGATGGTCCGAACTGCCTGCAGTCAAGACGGTCAAAGGAGCTTGCAAGCAAGTCAATCAAACAGCACAGGCCGAAAGGTGCGTGCAAACGCCAGCCTCCACCTCCACGGCGCCATCACATCGTCGAGGAGACCAGCGATGTTGTCTGACCTTCGCGAATTTAAATTGAAATTATGCGAGAATGAGTCTGACTACCACTTAGGGTTTTAGTGTTTCAGGGTCTAGGGGTTAGGGTTTGGGGTTGGGCTTAGGGTTAAGGCGGGGCCAATGGCTCACCAGCAAAGCTGGGCCAATGGCTCACCCGACAGTGCCCAGAACAGCTGGGGCCAATGGCACACCCGATGGGGCCAGTGGCTACACCCAGCAACCCGGGGCCAAGGGCTCACCCAGCACTGCTGGGGCCAATGGCTCACCCGGCGGACCGGGGCCAATGGCTCACCCAGAAAAGTTGGGCTGACGCACGGGGCCAAGGGCTCACCCAGCAAAGCTGGGGCCAGTGGCACACCCGAGCAGTGGTTGGGGCCATCGGCTCACCCAGCAAAGCTGGGGCCGATGGCACACCCAACACCGGGGCCAATGGCTCACCCAGCAAAGCTGGGGCCAGTGGCACACCCGAGCACTGGTTGGGGCCATCGGCACACCCAGCAAAGCTGGGGCCGATGGCACACCCAACAGCGGGGCCAATGGCTCACCCAGCAAAGCTGGGGCCAATGGCACACCCAACCAGCGCCAATGGCTCGCCCAGCAAAGCTGGGGCCAACGGCACGGCAGCACGGGGCCATCGGCTCACCCAGCAGAACTGGGGCCAATGGCGCACCCGGCGCACCGGGCCAATGGCTCACCCAGCACTGCTGGGGCCAATGGCTCACGCGGCGGACCGGGGCCAATGGCTCACCCAGCACTGCTGGGGCCAATGGCCCACCCGGCGGGGCCAATGGCTCGCCCAGCACTGCTGGGGCCAATGGCACACCCAAGTCAATCAAAGATCCTGGGCCAATGGCTCACCCAGCTAAGCTGGGGCCAATGGCACACCAGGAACCGAGGCCAATGGCACGCCCAGCAAGGCTGGGGCCAATGGCTCACTCGGCAGGCTCGGGCCATGGCTCACCCAGCAAGCTGGGGCCATGGCTCACCGAGCTGCAAAACGACGCAAACGAGGGGTTTAGGGTTTAGGGGTTCAGGGGTTTAGGGTTTTAGGGCTTAGGGTTAGGGTGTCTTACTGTCTCAGCTCCTGACGATGCCTGGATGGGAATGACGACAAAGATCACGGACCATGTCTGACCTGGCAGAATTAAATACCCTAACTTACCCAATACCTACCCCTTTAGCAAACTTGCGAGGGCGCACCTTCCGAAACCATCGGGCAGCTCGGGGGCTTTGAGGGGGGGCTTGTCTTACTTGGGCTTTAGTTTTTGTTCTTACATGACTTTCTTGGGGAGCTGCTTCTCATGCAAACATGTTGGAACTTGAGCCACCAGGGGGCATCTAGAAAAAAAGCTTTCAAGCTCTCCACTTGGGATCCAAGGCTATATTCCTTAATTGAGGGGTATTGGGCTCTCTGGGAAAGAGAAGAACCATATGAGTCCGACGTGAAGATACTCAGCGAAAACACAGGAGCACACCAAACGCAACCAACAAATTGGGTTCTGCCTGCTGAGCTTGTGGTAGAAAAGCGTTCAAATTGTAGAAAACAAGCGTTTACATTGTCAGTCATTGTCGTCTAGAAGCAGCACCGACTAAGCGTTGAATATCCAGGCACCAACCATGCCTATAAAGCCGACCCGAAACTACTCAACAGCCAAATCCTTGGGAGCACGATGTGCTGCATCTCTTCCAAGCACAGCATGGATGAGATCAGAATTCCATGCTGTGCCAAAGCCAATAACTCCAAAATCTCTCATGGCACAGTGTAGGAGCTTAGGGCTTGGGTTTAGGGTTTTGATCGACTTGCTGTTCTGGAAGAAGTTGTCATATGAATGTAGCTGGAGGAATGTTGGAGTCCCCGGGAGCGAGTGGAGCCAGCAACCGTTTCGTTGAGGGCTTGACGGTTAGGGTTTACGACCAAACCCTAAATGCATGCCCGTAAAACAAATTCTTGAAATCTTCGCCCCTGAAACCGCTTGAGCTCTAAACCCTAGTTGTTTGGAGGCATAGGCAATTGCCCCCAGTCGGTTTTGGAGCCAGAGGCACAGGGATATGAAGGTGATTCTCTCTTTTCAAGGAGAGGTTGCGATAATTTCGTATATGTATATATGTATATGTAGATAAATGTGGTCCTTGGTCACTCAATAGATTCCAGATGTTGGAGGGATTAAGGTTCCGATGTGTGCTGCATAGGTTTGCAATGGTTACGGGTGTGAGTTTGTTCAAAACGACGGCAAACTGAAGAAGCGGCCCTGTCCGGATATGCTTCAAAGGGAACGCTAAACCCTAGCCCTGTTGGTGGTTGACTCACAAGTGCTGGCTCCATTGAACCCGGTCGTCTCGGCTTCTACCCCAAAACCACTCTCAGAGGAGATGCCTGCGAGCAAGCTGCACGTGTAAGAAATGCTGAAAGCTAAGCCCACGCCCTCGAACCTGGAGTAGCGCAACCGTGGGGGCTCCACGTGAATCCAGGGATATCTGTTAACTAGTAACTAGTTGCTGAGGTACTTCTTCCTCAGAGAAGAATCAGCCTGCAAATCTGATTCTTCGGGCATGACAGAAGAGCTGATGGTACATAGTTCGTCATCTGAGTTTCGATTCAGAGGCCTGTGCGACAGTGGCCAGATATTCCGAGCTCCTGATTGAAATTCCTATGCAACTTGTGACTCTTGGCGCACTTTGTTTCTGGTGGGGATCACCTGTTTGTCCGAAGTTGATGACCGCCCTAAACAGTCTTGGGATTCACTTAGAGTGCGGCATCAGAGCATAGACACAGCTACCAAATCCAAAACTCCAAAGCCCCCACCCCTGTCGCGCCCCCTGTTCCCCCCCCCCCCCAGCATCCGGCCCCAACAGCGGAACCCCTAGAAGTAATCTTCACGGAACTCTAAGGGCTTCGGGATTCGGGAAAGTTGCTGTTTTTGGCGTTCCGACGCCTGTTCCCCGAAGCAAGGGGTTTCTGCTTTCGATATTTCGATGGCTCCATGGATGAACCGAGCATATCTATAGTTTACATACAGCTTCGAGTTATTGATAGTTGAAGCTCCGATGGTTTCCAGAATGCCTGGCTGGTTGTCTGATAAATCTGGCTGTACGACCTTCTCGTCGGGTGAGGCTCATGCTCCTTCTCGGTGTAAAACATCCTCGGGCCAAAGCCCACAATCACCATGAGCATAAAGGGCTCCCACCCCCAGAACAGTTGCACAAAGAGTTAGTTGCAAAGAATAGCACGAACGCAAGGAGATGTCTGGCAGGAACACTCTGAAGCTCCCTTGCCCACCTCAGCTCATATACTCCTCCTCGCCCGAGTGAAGCGAATCGACGGGGTCGCTTGGCGGCCTGCAAGTTGGGGTGTAGGGAAGATAGGCCCAGAGACCCCAATATGCCAATTAAGGAATATACCATAAATTATAGTAGGATCCCTTATATGCTTTAAGGAATATTCCTTAATTAAGGGATCTTGGAGTCTCTGGGAAGATAGGGTTGAGGGTTTGTGGTTGGGTGTAGGGCAGCTATGACAAGGACAGCCTTACCCGGAGCTCGCCTCTCAGGAAAAATGAAGCCGGCACAGCAACTGATTACCCAGAGCCTCCAGAACCCCTTAATTAGGGAATATACCTTAAATCATATAAGGGATCCTATTGCCATTTAAGGTCTATTCCTTAATTAAGGGGTTTTGGAGGCTCTGGGTACACCCCAGGTGAAGGCAAAGCACTCGGAAAGTTCCACATGTTGTAACTCCGAGCCGCCGATGAGCGAACCCAAAACCTAAAGTGATGCGAGATATAGTTTGGAGCTACTCGTATGAGCGTGGACTGAGGACGGAAGGCTAGCAGTGGCCTTACATAGGTAGCTAGAAGTTGCGGCGTGCGGACAATCTGCGGGGGTTCTGCATGGGTGCCCTTCCTTCGAGCGCAGACACAGAGTAGTGCAGTGCATCGCAACACAACTTTTCGTTTCGGCCTTATATAAGCAAGTCATTCTAGCTGCTGTTGGTTTTGAAAGTATCTCCAAACGACTCCGCAGCGTTGAAGAACAACTGGCGGGAATTGTGGTATATCATTCGATTCCACAAGCCCTCCCGGCCTGTCATCAGATGTCCTTGGGGGCCTGCAGTTCTGGATGGTTGTCCTCCGCAGAACGTAGGTTTCATGGACTTATATAAGGTTCGTTTTGATAGAAGCTAGGGGCTTGATCAATTATTCGAACAAGGTCTGGGAGCGGTTCTGGACAATTATGGACCATGTCACGTCTTGCTTTCAGTTTCGGAATATGCAGAGCTGAGAATTTGAGATGCCCACTTCGGACCTAAGCACCTCCGCGCACCTGAAACCCTGCAATACATAGATGTCTGCATAAACCAATATTATTCCTTAGGGTTCCTCGTTCTATTGATGCTATAATATAAAAGCACCCCCCAAAAGCAAAGTCTCTCATTCTCAAGGTGTACCCAGAGAGCCCAATCCCCCCTAATTGAGGAATGTAGCTTGAATTATGAAGCCCTGTATAATTTAAGCCATATTCCTGAATTAAGGGGTATTAGAATCCCCTGTACCCTAAGCCTATAGATCCCTTAAAGGAACTTTAGGTCTTCCTTTTTACCAAACCGAAGCCTTCAGCTCGGAAAACCCTTTTGCGTGGAGCTTGCGACCTGGGCAGCGAGCTCCCTCTGCTCAGAATGTGTGTCGAAGCCGAACCCAGAGAGCCCAAGACCCCGCAATTAAGGACTATCCCCTAATAATAAAATTATACAGGGATTCATATTATAATATGAGGGGTCTTCCTTAATTAAGGGGTGTTGGGTTCTCTGGGGGTCGCTTCAAGCGACTTCAACCCTGAATCCCATGGCGGCTTGCGTCTATAGGATATGAAGAACCCTGCTGGAGTCCTAGCGCCCGTATGATAAAACGACTGGTACAACACACCCGAAGGAGGCTTATAGAACCCTTCTGCCTAAGGCTCATAGTAGCCCGAACCGCAAACCCTAACCATGACTAAGCCATAAAACATCATAAAACCCAATGTTCTAGAGTAATCATCTGTGAACCCACCAGCTCCTTGAGCCAGTCTGCGACCTCCCGAAATCCGGGGTTCCCTGCGCAGCTGTCGCGATCAGACAGCTCAGAGAGCTGGCGGGGAGGTTCGGGAAGGTTCGGCCCATGTTGCAACAACAACAACAACCACCACCACCACCACCACCAACAACAACAACAACAACAACTACTACTACTACTACTACTACTACTACTACTACTACTACTACTACTACTACTACTACTACTACTTCTACTACTACTACTACTACTAGCCCTACTACTACTACTACTACTACTACTACTACTACTACTACTACTACTACTACTACTACTACTACTACTACTACTACTATATACTACTACGACAACGACGACGACAAAAAACTACTACTGTTATTGCAGCAGGTTGTTCGAAGGCCAAAGCTCGTGACCTCATAAGTTGGCAGGAACAGCAGTGAAGTAGCTTTATTGCCAAGGACAAGAACACAAAAACACCAGAAATAACGGTGATATCTAACTAACTAATTTGTTACGGTGCCGGCAGCCCCCAAATGGATAGGACACCATAATAACGATAATAATTTAAAGCAGTGGCATCAACCGAGCTACGTTCCAGAAATCCTCAACTAGCCTTTGCACCGGCTACGTACTACGCCCCGTACTCCGCCGGCCCCCGCGGGCCTGAGTCCTCCTTTGCGGCAGTGGCCAGAATCCAAGAGCAGTAGTCCGGATCTGCCTGCACCTGTGGGCTTTTTAGGGTTTTTTTGACCCGCCCAGCTGAACAATCTCGCACCGCAGGAAACGCGTCTGAATCTGAGACTAGCATGAGAGAGGACCCCAGGGCGAAGACATTCTTCATGCCGAAGGGCCCAGGAGCAAGTCACAACTCAAAGGGGAAAAGGAAGGACCCTTAATGGGGACCCCTACTCTATAATGGGCTATATAATGGGTAATTATAATGGCTATATTATGGGTATATGCCTAGGGGTCCTTCTTAAGGGTTCCTCCTTTTACCCTTTGAACAACCGTGCAGAAGCGAAGAATGTTTCAGCGCTGAGCCCCGGAAACCTAGCTTTACCCAGGACAGCAGAGGACGACTACACCGAACGAGCCCATGAGCACCCAGGGCGTCCACAGCAACGTCCTGAATAAGGCTTGTTTAGTTTTGTACACTGGTTCAGAGCAACAAGCTAACCTCTGCACCTAATATTACTTCCAAGTCCAGGTCAATGCCGTCTAAGTTCGAGCAGACGTTTCATGACGGGCAACCTCGGAAGCCGAAAGGCTAAGACGTACGAAGTACCACTAAAATCAAGATAATTGCGAGGCTCCGTACATGGTAGAGGGTTTAGGGTTCAGGGTTTCGGGTGTTTTTAAGGTGTGTAGGGGAGGGCCCATTGGGCAAGACATTTCGTCTCCAATAGCTTTCCGAAGCCCTATATAATTTTTGTATCCCTAAACCCCTGTCGCGCCCTTTAACTGTCGCCGGGCGCGGGATTTAAGACGTACCTGGGTTGTAATCTAAATACGGAGTTTTCTGGTGTTCAAAAACCGGAATCGGGTGCTTACCATAATCATAGGATCAGGTGGTAAAGCTGAAATCTGTAGGCCCCGCGACCGGCATAGGTGTGTTTGGTAAGTCTTAAGTGCAGTGTCATTGGTCAGTTGTTTGGGTTTCAAGGGTTAGAGTTCGAGAAATGCGCCCAGCACCCAGGGGCATCTCAAATGTTCGGCCGTATTTAAGAGCCGAAGAAGAGGCTAGTCGGTAGGATTGTAACAAAGAAGCATCAATAGGAAGGCTTTGTCAGAGCAGAACTTGTGTGGAGTCTGTAAGGACCCCGAGTAAGGTGGGAAATGCAAGAAAATCTGCACTTTGTAGTTTCTCACAGGGGAACATGAGGCGTCCTGAACCCCGCGCCCGCCTAAAATGTCTAACCCTCAAACTGGTTGTCCAAGAAAGATGACAGTCCAGAATTTAGGGCTCTGCGTCCACTTCACCACAAGCAGCATTTCCGGAACCGCTAAACCCAAAACCCTGAACCCTAAACTCCCAAATCCAAACGCCTTCACCCTAAATTCGACTTCTTTATGTGCTGCCGGGCAGTCAAACCCTGCGCTGCGAAAATGCTGAGAGCTCGGCCAGCTCCGAAACAGACATGCCCTTGTACTTGCCGAAGCCTCAGGCACTGGTCAGCATTGCTTTGTGCTAACGGGTCTACATTGCTTAAGATACCTATGTGAAGCCCGAGAGTCTGGGGCTTCACATAGGTACTTTAATCCATTTAATAGGGTTTAAGTTTAAGGGTAGATGATCTTGTAGTTATGTTTGGAACCCGTGCGGAACAGTATTGGTAATTGTTCAAACATAGGGGCCCTTAGGGGGTAGGGGACTATTTCCTGAAATAAGCCTTTAGTTAAATCATTGAATCGCAGCCTGGGCCCCAAGACCCTACCATCCAAGGCCTATCCACTTTGGGTCTACACCTTACAAGCATCAAGCCTTCGACACGCATCCGTGCTCGTGGTTGGAAGATATTGAAACTTAGACCACCTTATGCTCTGACAAAGCCCCCTCATTCACAAGTTAGACCCGAATCCTATAACCTCAGCCCCGTTGCATCAAGAAGTGGACATTAATGGCCCCGTCTCCTGCCTGAATGTCCTGCTGCTCCTTGCTGCAAGGCCCGAGACTCTATAACTCTGAAGGCCTTACGGAACCAAGCCGAAGATACTTTTGCTTGTGCTGAACACAAACTTCTCCTTTGAGCCCGAGTGCCGACCACTGCAGAATCTTCGACCTCTGGGAAATACCTGACAGAGGATGGGCAGGGCATTTTATTACTTCATCGAGAGCCAGAACCCACATGGCAAAGTGTCGGTCGGGATGTAGGCCTTATACCTGATAAACCTACTAAAGGGGCCTGAACAGCCAAAATCGCTCTGGCCTCTCACGTGACCACTACCATTGCCCCAAACCGCCAAAACCACCCCCCCTGGAACCCCTAGAGAACTCGTATTGAAAGAATCCCTGTGCTGAACGGCAAAGGTCCATGCTGCAGCTGGTGTAGAGGGCCTACTGTTGATGATATAAACCCTGCATTACCTTAAGGACCCTAAACTATGGGAATTATGGTATATTCCTTATTACGGGTAATGCAAGGTTTTTATCATCAACCGTAGGTCGCTCCTGCACAGGTCTCAACGACTCGGCACCAGCGCAATTGGAAACAAGACTCTGCCGATCAGCTGGGAAGCAGCACTGCAAGAAAGCACAAACACTCCAGAACCGTAATATGTACAACCTCAACCCTTGTGAAATCCTAAGCCCACACATCGCTGACCTTCTCTCTCTCGCTCGCTCTCTCTCTCTCTCTCTTTCTCTCTCTCTCTCTCTGGCGGACTCAGAGGTCTGTCAGCCGCACGGTTGTCCGGCGTTTGACCAGACACCGAAATAGTAACTTCTGGGAGTCCGGGAGTACAGGGGCTGCACTGAAGAGACGCGATGAATCCAATCCTGCGGATCCAGTTCCAAACGGTTCTAAACCCAAAAACCCTCTAGTTGAAAGATTCTTCAAGAAGCAAGGAAATGGATCCTTACCGGAACCCTGTAGGGAAACGGGTTTGGGAGGTATACTGTTACTATACTAAAAGTGCAACGGAAGACCATAGGAGTATCACTAGGGTGGTTGTCAAAATTCTGATCCCTGTTTGGGTACCCTAAATATTAGGTGCCGTATTATATTCAGGACCCAAAACGGGACCATAATTTTGACAACCACCCACTAATTTTCCCACGCCTGTATAACAAAGCGGCAGCCTGAATCCTCGAACCCTACTAGAGCCCACGTCAAGCACCGCGAACCTACACCCTAAACTTGAAATCCCTAGACCCTAGCCAGAGGCCCCATAGTAGTTCCTTTTTGGGGTTCATATATAGAATCCTATAAGGTAATCCCAAAAAGGAACTACAAAGGGGCCTCTGGGTAAAGCCTTTAAGAGCTGCGGACAAGCAACTCCCGAACGTACTCTGCCACTTCCAACAATCGGCTGGAAGAGTCGGGATCCTAACCGCCAACATCGGTTTAGGGTTTAGGGATTTGAGCTCTTAGGGTGCGCAAAAACCTCGAGTTTAGGGTGTGAGAGTGTCAGGTGTTAGGATGCAACAAAAACGGAGTTTAGGGTGCTCGGACTTCAGAAAAAAGGACTGTTGCGGGACCGCGCAAATCAACGATCCACTGCAGGCAAATCTACAATCAAGGCTTCTAGAAAGGTGCTATTTGAAAGCAACCACGCGAATCCACAACCAAGGATTTTACAAGGGCGTTGTGCGCAGGACCCAAACACTAAAATAACAAAAACACAAACCAACCAACAAAAACAACATAGACAAAAAACAAAGCAACCAAAACACATGATGCCACATCTCCGGTGCCCCAAGACTCTGGGGCCACTCCTGTTTCTTGTCGTTTTGTTTTTTGCTTGTCGGCCATGTTGTGTACTTGGCTTTGCTTTTAGATATGTCGAATTAGGTTGGTCATTTTGGGTTGTTTTGGTGCTTCTGGTTATGTTGTCTTTTCTTGTTTTTGCTATTCTGGATATTTTGGTTGATTTGGCTTGCTTTCTGACTTTCGTCAGTTTGGGACTGAACACATGTTTTTTCGAAGACAGTCTATTTATTCTGTCCCGGACAAGCAATCTTCCATGACAGAGCCTGTATTCAAAACAAGTTGTGCTTTCCCTCCAGAATTCTTGGTATAGAAACATAAGTATAACTTCATGTATGTACGTATTTGGGTACATATGTGCATGCATACAGAAACACCTTTACACATGCATGCGTACCTACATACTTACATGGACATATACACATGTAAACTTGATGTAGCATACATGCATACATACATACACACATACATACATACATACATACATACACACATGCATACCCACGTGCAGCTAACGTTCTGTCTCTTTGCGTGTTCACATACCATGCTTATATACAGATATTTTATCACCTTCTATTCACGTCTGCTCCGATGTGTAGGGTCAGTACTACTGAATGTAATTATACAAGTATGAAATGTAAATAGGTATACGTAATCTGTTGCATATGCCAAACTTGATTGAGTCTATATGCAACCAGTGACTCAAACAAATGACACCGCTTCGTAAGTTGAACCGACATGCGATAGGCCAGCTTTGCTGCTGTCATGCTCCTGTGTATATGACAGACTCATGAAGGTCAGCACTGCTGGTGTACATGTTCTTGGTAATGTACCGCAGATGACCTAGCAGTCTACCTTGAATGTAGAGACATAACCAGACGGTGCCTAAACGCTAGTTAGACTGCCCCCATCTGACTGCAACACTCAAGCTGACTCAAGCTATACAGTACAACTGCTCCAAGGATTGATTCACGTGTCTGCCCGAATTCACGTCAACTTAGGATCCAAATTCGTCTGGCTCGCGATACACCCGGGACACCCTCGATCAGATTCCAAGCTGAAGTCAAACAAGTTCTGTGACCCGCAAAGCCGCATGCAAGTTGTCCAATTTAATGGTGCACGGATCCCTGAACCCCACGAGATATGAAGCTTTGTCCAGCCACCACATAAGCCCATGCAGAACCATATGTTGTGACATTGTCCAGCATCATGGCATACAAACACCAAAATCTAACGCGTGCACAGCCCCGCAAGTCTGTGAACCGCCAAGCTCGATGTCACCAGCAGAATGAAGCTGGAGTGCAAACAAGCTCCCAACAGTAAGATCTTCTCTATATAGACCGCATGCAGAACGCAGACACGCTTAAAGTTCGCACTTTGACTATACCTGAGTTGAGTTTAGGTAAGTCATATACACCGTGAATTCGGAAAACATACACGATCCTACGCACTATCCTACTTGCTCAACCGTATAAATCCCAAATCCGAAGCCCTCAACCATCAAGCTAAAGGAACCTGAGCAACCGGATGCATGCAGGATCGTTACAAGAAGCCCCAAATGACCGCCTCCGTCTGCCCCAGAATCCATTTCAGGTAGCTGGGGTCTTCTTCGACAATCTCCTCGTGTCAGGGTCTTACATTGGTCGAAGCTTTAGTGGCCGTCAAATTAGTGTTCGGTTTCTGTGTGGTTCTGGGTACTAAGCAGGTTCAAAGGCTCAATCCTTTAGGGCTCAAGGGCCAATGTTTCGGGGCTCAGGAGGGTTGATAAGCTTTACCATAAGGGGCCTAAATAATTACCTATACTCGATTGGGGGGGGCTCCATATTATAAGTATAGCATAATGGGTCTCAAAGCCCTTTTCTGATTATTAAGGACCCTATATTCAGCTTCTCGGTTCTGGGGTTTATGGCTTTAAAGTTTTGCCTTTGACGCTTTCGGCTTCCGGGCTTGCGGGCTGTCGGGTTTGGGGGCTTGGGGGTTCAGGGCTCGAGTCTTCAGACTTCTGAAGGGGTTATAAGGGTTTAGGGTTTTCGGCGCTCACACTCGGACAATCCAGGTGCGGCGTGTGGTTCGGAGTCTGATGAGTGAAACTTCACTAAGGGAGTAGTCAGAATTTAACATAATTTAACCAACAATCAATCTGATCAACACATAAAACGACTGTACTTGATTGGACTTCTTCCCTCCCAAGATCCTACTCGTATGTAAAGCAAAATGCGCCACGCATAGGACCTTGGGGTACCCAACAAAAGATCACTCAAGGGTGCGGGTTCAGGACCGGGATAAAACTATACAAGTACAATTGAGACCGGGCTGGTCTGGGCAAGTTGTGATCTGTGCCTCAAAATTACACTACCAACTACATTGAAAATGGGCAAGCTCCTGAGTCCTGTTGATCGTGCATCTTATCTGAAGAACACAGCGAAGCCGACCAAGACTTGTGCGACCTACCTTCTCATGCACATGCAGGCATGCTGGCATGCTAACTTGCTAGGGAAGTACTTATACTCAACCAAAGCAGCTTTTACATGTATGGCATGGAACAGTAACTATACAGTGTGGGCATGCAGCATACTACAAGTTACCTTTTCGTGCAACATACTACTAATTCAATGGTAGTTCTTGCTATTCGCCATCGCTGGCTCAGTACTTCTCCAGGTGCCCTGTACGATTGTGTATGGATGCACAGTCAGCACCCACGAAAATCATACAGAACTCTTTCCAAAGTCTGCAGAGAAACATGTTCAGATAGATCACCGGAGCTGCCATACCAGCGCTAACAGTGACTTCGCAGAGGTGTTCACTGGCCATGTGGGTGAATTCCTAATTCTGTCAGCCCATGCCCATCGTAGAGAAACGCAGGCTGGTACCACCGCTGTTTTCTAATTCCTACCAGCACACACCCATCACAGATAAGTTCAAGCTGGCACCAGAGCTGCGATGTCGGCGCTAATGATGTCTTGCCATACTCTTCTATGCAGAAGGGCGACTTTTCATGCCGAAAGCTGCAGCACATGAATATAGGGCGGGGTCTGGTGGGGTGGTGGAAACAATGAGTGAGCAGGGCCGTACCTAAGACACACGTGACGTCCTACAGGCAACACAACACGACCACCACGCTTCCCGCTGAGCACGGGACACATGCCTTGACAGCTTCAAAGATGATGATGCCGATCTTGGCTTTCGGACAGTACTTCTTCTGGGAGGTAACGATCAGCGAAGCGATTGCGTGAAAGGTGTTGATCGTGCTCTGCGGATCGTACCGCGCGTCGAGGAAGTCAACGAACGCGTGGCTCCACTGCACTACCTTCTCGTACGCACCAAATGATGAGCTAACGCCAGCGCAGTGTAGTACGGGTTTTTTGCTGACTTCGGGACTGCCTCCCTTGCTGAGGATGAAGGCATCGTACGCCGCGGCATAACGCGGATTGTAGGTGTTGATTTGTGTCACACGGCATGCTGCACGCCACGCATGTTCGATACCGAGCGCCTCCGTGAGAAAGTCAAGGTGATTCTCTCCGCTTCCTTGGTGGAAAGCGTTCAATAGCACGATCACTTTCTTGAACACGCAATCCGGAGTTGGCTCATCCAACACTTTGACTTTTCGCAAGCCTCGAACCAGAGCATTTTGGACCATGGGATGGTCCGGATGCTCTTCCCGGCAACGATGGAATGCTTCCGCTCGATGGTTGAAGCCACCGACAGACAGAGGTAGGCTGCGATCGGCGGTGCGATATCGAAAGATTGCTTCACCTGTTCGCTGTGAATCAGATGCCGGAGTGTGTGTGCAAAGCTCATTCCATGGAGAGCTGGCTGACGGAGGGATGTTCAGGGTTGTTTCTGCAATACATAGTATCAGTCTTCCCCGTCCTCGGTCCGCCTTTGTCTGTTAAGCTCCAATTTTAAGCCCTTACTATGACTCTACATCACGTCAGCATGTTAAGCGCTAGCATCTACTGCCTTTACTCATGCGATACCTGGACCATATTTTGTAACTGGGATGTGTTGTGGATGTGGACAGTAGTCGGACGTTAATGCCCTAGGCCAAAGTGCCCCTCCAACATCTAGGTGCACCCAAAACCTCGCCTGCAGCGTCGAGAGCGAGTGCTAAAAAGCCCTCTCTAACAAACCACCAGCCCGCGAAACTGCAAGCCATGGAATTCTTGAAAACCGCTATCCCGCGCCAGCGCTGACTGTGGCCAGTGCAAAAAAGTTTTCGGGGTATGCTGGATGTTGATGACTCGACCACGACGCCACCTGCACCTGAATCCACATAATGGTGACTGCCTTCAAAGGTGAGGACAGTGAGGTGCACGAGGCTGTATAAGTCTGGGTCTCTGCTGAATCAACGTGGCGGTTGTGAACACCCAAAAAAAGACGACGGCCACTGCAAGCGAGTTTGTATGCATGATCAGCTGCGAACCAGCATTGCATGATTCTCATGGTGACTGCGAGGTGCGGTCGTTCCTCATGCTTTGTAAGCTCGTCGCTCATGGTCACGGTTCTCATGTACCACTTCATGTTTCCACTTCCGTGCCATGTTCGTGATCGACCTGCTTGTGGTTGTTGATGATCGTCGTGACCGTGGGGCACTGCTGTGCACCACTGGCTCATCATGACTACTGCGGGTTTCATGGGAATGTAGGACAGCACTCCCACACAGGTGCCACGGTGCCATGCATGCATATCATGACATCCAGTTGGGGCACGGGCATGGGGGCATTGTCTGGGCGTTGGGGTAGCATGACATTCATGATTCACACACACACACACACATTCAAATTTCAACGACTACATGAGTCTTATGTCCCTGTCCATCCCCTCCTGGCACTCTGTGCTCGGGGCGGGCTCCAGCCATCGCACCCGAAGGCAATGCCATTCGCTAGCGAGCTCGCCAAGATCTGATGCCGCCTCCGCATCAGCCTGGCTCGAGCGCCCGCCAGCCTCCTCGTGAAGGCGTTGGGCTAGGGCGGCTTGCCGTGCTGGGCATCGGCCATAGGCAAACCAACCCCAACGAAATGGGTGGAAGCCGACTTGAGCCAAAATGGCTACGCTTTAGGGTTTAGGGTTTTGCGTCAAGGGCGGAAACCCAAGTAGAACTAACATCAGAAGCCAATCGACTCTAATTCTGCTTCCCTGCCCGAGTCCTGTCGATTGCGCCCAGGGGCGCTGGGTTTAGGGGGTAGCCCATTGCTTTAGGATAGCTCCTTCCAATATGGTGAAAGTGAGGTGGGACCCTCTGAGCCGATCTTCGCGCGCTATGTTTCGCGAAGGACAAACCACCGGGTTTAAAGACGCACCTTAACACAAGCTCCTATGACCAAACTCCCTAAACCCTAAGCCCAATACTGACAAACAGAGCTACACAGGTTGCTAAACCCTAAACCCCAAACCCTAAACCTTTTAAAACCCTAAACCCTAAATCTTTTAAAACCCTAAACCTTTGAAAACCCTCAACCCTATCAAAACCCTAAACCCTATCAAAACCCTAAACCCTAAACCCTCTGAAACCCTAAACAGGGGGTACGAAGTGTTTTCAGGGGCCTGATATCGGGCTCGGGTCGCAAAGGTCGCAAAGCACCCGACGCTTCGGATGTCCGTCCTCCTCTTTACAATCATCATAAATCGGTTTAGGGCTTTAGGGTTTAGGGGTTTAGCGTTAAGGGTTTACGCTCTCGCAACTCGGACACAGCCAGACGAGGTTAAGGGTTTAGGGTTTTATATTGTTATTTTCACTGGTATTAGTGGTACTACCGTCCAGTTACCTGTGAGTAACAATTAGGCTGATACTACTTTCATTTGCGTGGAACTTGGGGGCCTCCCTCTGCAACTCCAAACCACATGATAGCATGCTTGCGACGGAAACCTGCTTAACGCAAACCTACCGCCACAGCCAAATCCTGGGTAGACTGTGGTAGCGCAAAACTTTGCAGGAGCTGACGAATATGATGAAATCCAAGTTCCGCGACAAAGGCCCGGCTTTCTCAGTCCCAAACTTTGCAGCCATGATTCCGAAATCAGGCGGCCACGATGCTTGCCGAAGCTCATCTCCATGTCGCTCTCCATAGGGACAGGAGCCATGGAAAACCTAAGCCAAGACTGAAAAGCCAGGGCTGCTTACATTCAGCTTCCCAGAGGCCAGAGACTCCAATATCCCTTAATTTAGGAATATACCTTAAATCATACTAGGGATCCTCTTGTAACTGAAGGTATATTCCGAATATGCCCTAAACTATAATAGGATCCCTAGTATGATTTATTATATTCATTAATTAAGGGACATTGGAGTCCCTGGGGTAGGGCTTTGGGTTGAGGGTGCTGTCGCGAAAACAGTACGTCACCTTGCCAGGTAGGTAGCAACGAATCCCCCCAAAGCGAGGTATGTGATCTTAAACTTGCTGGTAATAGAGTAGTCCAAATTGCTGTATTACTGTGTTGCAACAAAACACGCCATACCCGCAGGCAGTAACTAAAAGACAGAACAAACCCACCAACTCCGACCGAAACTATAATAACTTTTGTGCATGGGAGGACCTACTTGGGAATGAAAGTTCAGGGTTTTTAGCGCAGAAGTTCTGGAGTCTGGAAGCTGAAGAGCTTCAAGGTCTGAGAAGTAAGGATTGAAAAAACATGGTTACTTGGTAGATTTTAAGGAGATTTCGTATACTACAACTACTATGGTTTAGACTGTATTCCTTAATGCAGGAACCGAGTCACCATTGCTTAGACTTTTAAAGCCTGGGCTGTCGCATGCCACCATAAACCTCCATGCCCTGCTCTGATTCTTAAAGGTTTAGGGTTTAGGGGTTTAGGGATTTAGGGTTTAGGGTTTTAGGGCTTTAGGTTTTAGGGCTTTTAGGGCTTAGGGCTTTAGGACTTAGGGTTTCTTTCTGGCTTTTATCCCCAAACCATCAAAAGTTGCCGTTGCGAGTTTGGGATTTAAGGTCTGGGTTGTTTGGGGTATAGGGTTTACAAGTTAGTGTTTAGGGTTTAGCGCCGACCTCTTCGTACGCCCCGATATCCTCCTCAAGTAGTTGCCTTCGCTTGAAACCTAAAACCTCGAATACAGCTGCGTCAGAGTTCTGTATACCATGTACTGCCATATACTTGTAACAGGTAGTTCTAAAGATGAACCCAGGCGTAGTTTTACAAAGTCCGAAAGACCCTTGAAGACCCTTGTACAAGTTGGAAGAATCCTTACCCAGAGCCTCCAAAACCCCTTAATTAAGGAATAATTAAGGGGTTTTGGAGGCTCTGGGTATAGAAGCCTTCCAGATCCGGCCTCATAAAGCATCATGACACGTTGCAATAAAGACGTTGTAAAACTCTCTTCTCCCTGGTTCGGGAGCACCGCTGTGTTGAACGACCTCCTTGACTAACGCCATCCCCACAAATGCTGAAACGGTAGTTTCCGAAAATAGGGGACCCTTATATAGTACCCCAAATAGTAGGATCCTTATTATAAGGACCCAAAAATAAGGTACCCTCAATTTTCGGAAACCCCCAAACCTCAAGATCCTCCACCGTAACACTGAACCCCTCTTTACGGCGTACGGTCCAGGTGTTGGTTGCTACGATGCCACTTGACATCTTCACCGACCTACTGCGTGTAGCAGCTACAGACAGAGATTCAAGTATTTGTAGATGTGGGTAGTTGTCAAAATTAGGCTCCCTGTTGGGGTACCCTAAATCATAGGTGCCGTACTGTAATAGGGATCCAAAAAGGGACCCTAATTTTGACAACCACCCATGTACATGTGGCGGATTGTGAGGTAGACAGTGGTTCTTTGACCAAATCTCCAATCTCCGGCCTCCTAGTCATCAAAACCCTTCTGTGTTCAAGGTACCTTATAGTAACCCTTAAGAGTAGCTTATAGTATCCCTTAAAGGTACCTGATAGTAACCCTTACAGGGACCTCAAGGCGACAATATGGATTTTATTGCTGTGCCTTCAAGAACGGGGTCCAGCAATTCAGGGATCTACTTTAAGGCCAGTAGTTCGGAATCTTTTCATCCCAGGTCACGCAGGTGCTGCCCACTTCGCAAGGCAGACGGCCATGGCAATCGAGGCCAAGCGGACGAAAGTGCGCACAGATGACGTCCTGACAACAAGGCACATTGCAGTGGTTTACGCGAGGGTTTACTTCATCAAGTTCATTTTGGCTCAGCTGCAAGGACACTCGGCGGATCAGGGATTGGGCTTCACAAGGCTTCTAGGTCAGAACATACAGCTTAGACTGGTTTCGCGGTTAGGACGTCGATTTTAAGGATTTCAAGTTTCGGGGCAATAGGATTTGGGCCTGCGTTTGCCATTTGTGAGACCCAGGAAACTCGCTACCAGGATTGCCAAAGAACTGTACCCGTCAACCCAGGAATACGTCTCGCACCGCGGCCTCATCTCCGCAGAAAGTCGCGAGAAAAGACAGTGTCCGCCTGAGCACCCTGTGATGTTTGAAACTGAAACGGCTGCGGCGGTATGGCAGGTGGCAGGCCCTAGAACAAGGCCGAATAAGGACACAAAAGGGTTTGGCGCTAGGCCCTTGGGTTTGGCGCTAAGCCCTTATGGCTTAGCATTCTCAAGAAAAATACCGTTCCAAATTTTGCTACAACACCTACTACTACTACTACTACTACTACTACTACTACTACTACTACTACTACTACTACTACTACTACTACTACTACTACTACTACTACTACTACTACTACTACTACTACTACTACTACTACTACTACTACTACTACTACTACTACTACTACTACTACTACTACTACTACTACTACTACTACTACTACTACTACTACTACTACTGCTACTGCTACTGCTACTACTACTACTACTACTACTACTACTACTACTACTACTACTACTACTACTAACTACTGCTACTACTACTACTACTACTACTCTACTACTGTACTACTACTACTACTACACTACTACTACTGACTACTACTACTACTACTACTACTACTACTACTACTACTACTACTACTACTACTACTACTACTACACTACTACTACTACTACTACTACTACTACTACTACTACTACTACTACTACTACTACTACTACTACTACTACTACTACTACTACTACTTACTACTACTACTACTACTACTACTACGACTACTACTACTACTACTACTACTACTACTACTACTACTACTACTACTACTACTACTACTACTACTACTACTACTACTACTACTACTACTACTACTACTACTACTGCTACTACTACTAGTACTACTACTACTACTGCGTGGGGGATTGATCTCGACTTGGTTGCTGCTCTCCCCACCAGAGCTGTAATGAATGTAGGTGTGGCTGGCTAGCACTCTCCACAGACTGGACCCTGTCTCTCCCTCTTACTTCCACACGTGCGATCCTATGCAGGCAGAACCGGCGGCCGTTCCTTTTGCACTCACTGCCGGCGGCGGTTCGTCTGTGCAACGGGATAGCTCTGATTGCTCAGGATAGAAGACACATATAGCACTTAGCTATGGGCATTGACTTGAGCCAAACGTTGCGTTGGCGGTCACATAGAAAGGTAAAGACGAGGGATGCGTAGCATGCCCCCTAGAGTCGAGGGACGCGTAGCGTGCCCCCTTCTCTTGCACTTTACACGGTCTTGCTCACAGCTCTTATAGTGACACCTTAGAACTTGACAAGGCATCGCAGTCCGTTCGCACCCCCCATGAGTTGCGTCTCCGACGCTGCTCACCCGGAAGATGGCACGATAGGACAGAAGAAAATTCCGCCGCAACATTGACATTGAAAATCAGAGCTTTGTATCCCAATTAGAAACGTTGTGACACTCATCTACGTCAGTAACGATCCCCTGAAATGACAAACGAATCAGGCGTCACCGAAGAAAGAAGCATTCGCGATGGCATTCCACGGGCGAAGCTCAGAGGTCACGAACTGATAGGCGAGGAAGATCAGGCGTTGTCTCGCCACCATCTTCGCGTTGACGTAGGATCGCGTTCCCAGGGCCGGAGGTTCTCCTCTGGATATGGGTTCCTTGGCTTTCCCTTGTCCTTGCCTTTGTTTCGGCCTTTGGCGGCGATGTAGTCGTGGTAGGAATTGGTGTTCCAGCCACCATGTTGCTCGCCTCCGGTTCTTCCACGCCCTTTTGAAGGTCCCTTGGATGAAGAAGCGCTTTCACGTTCCTCCGTAGTGACAGGCGTGTCCAGGATGGAAGTACCACCTGGAGGAAGATAGTCAGCGGCCGAAATGTGGTGTAGGGCTTCCGTACGCCTTGTCGTCGGGTTTTGCTGTCTCTCAGTCTTGGATCTATTCAATCTGTCCATGAAATGCGCAGGCATCTGCACACTGTGGTCCACCAGCAAAGCGATGGTCTGGACTGATTGATCAGAATGAGTCAGCAGAATACCGACAGGGTCGATGTACAAGAAGTCCACCGGTCCAGTTGGCGTTGGTCGTAGCACTGAGAATTGTTGGTGTCCCGTCACCATTGGGATCACCTCGCATAGGACGTTCAGGCAGCAAAAGTGCATTGCCTTTACATCTTCATCCCTGTCGCTCTTCAAATAAGTAGTAGGGCTGAAGTTGTCCCTGCCAATTCCCATCATGTTGGCTCCACGTACAAGTAAAGAAAGCATCTGGTTCGTCCGGAAGCGCTTCAAGGTGTAAGTCCCGTTGGGATCATACTGTTTGAGGTTCTCAGGTTCCTTCGCAAAGCGAATGATCTCCTCATCAGTCACGTCCCTGCTGACACCTGTTTCCTTATCCACTGCTGCCAAAGATCCCCACTTTCCAAGCACATCATAGCGTTGGCCAAGCGCGAAACTTTCCCTCATCTGAAACAACGGCATAGTCGCCCACTTTGCGAATCCTGACCAAGCTTTGTAGATGGATCGGCATACCACGTATGCCATGTACGACAGAGCGGTCATGTTCGCGTCAATGCAATGGGCATTTCGCTTTCCAGAATAGTAAGATGGCTGCATGGCGGTACGTGCAAGTTGTAGTTCAGGATCGATGTTCAAAGACTGGCCGGTAAGGAAGACGGGACGACGTTCCTGTGCGATTGCTTCCGGAACTGCGTCATCAAAGTCCTCTTCAGGCTCAACGTCCATTTCTTCATCAGGTTCCTGTTCTGGATCGTCTTCCGCGACAACAGACGGTTCTGGGATTTCTTCAGGTTCCGCAACGGTCTCTACCTCCATGGCTTCCTGCTCCTCTTCGGGCGCCTCAGGCACTGCGGCTGCTGCGGCTTCCATTGTCTGAGCAATGAAGTCACTGGGGATCTCCGTAGGAGTATCCCGTTGTGGAGAACCTTGATAATATCCGCTTGAAATGAACTGTGACCAGCAAGACGTGCATCGGGAGAAACATGCTGGAACAATGTTGTAGCATGCCGGGCATACCCTCATTCTCCTTCCATCCTCGTCTCTGCGTAGGTCTTCGGGTCGCCAATTCTTGATGACAAACTTGATTCCCTTGTCCATGTAGTGATGCCGAACCGTGTTCTCCCTGTGGGACTCCAAGACAGTTGTGAGGTCACGAATGATCTGCTCCTTGCTTGTGTCGTGGGGTCCAGGAGGCATCTCGCAAAGCAATTCCATGATCTTGCTTGGCGTTCGGTATCTCTCGAACTCGGGAAGCAACGGTGATGCATTGTAGTCCAACACCAGCTCTTTCTCCAACCTTTCATCGTAGATCTTTTCCACCAGAGCGAAAGAGTGTGTATCTCGAGGATCAGGGACGCAAAACCATACCTCCTTGACGAAATGGAAAGGTATCGTTCGACCAACGATCATGATGCCGCTGTCTGTGATACGTCCATCCTCTCGTGCAAGATCTTGCGATGGGACATGAAGAACCGCCAATGGCATGTGCTTGGCGTCTCGTCCGTGTACTCGCATCTTGGTCGTTGCGTTCCGGTGATCGAACGGCGCAAACACCCCCCAATAGCTGTGGAGTCTGCCGCCTTGGTTGCCTCGGAATTGGCGCCGATGGTCGAAGTCCCCGTCGGGGTCCTCCGAACCAGGCATGATGCCTTGCGTGACAATGGAATCCAAGTTGCGGCATGCCGTAGCGTGGAACGCACCTCCAAGACGTTGCAAGAGGGTCATAGATGGAGATATTGCGAACCTGTTCTTGTCCAACTGAAGCAAGTTGTTCTGGGGATCTGAATGCGCAGAGTGACCACTCGTAGCCCGAACTGCCCATGGCTTCACCCAGCCGTTGCATAGGTTCAGGTACCTCTGGCCATGCCGGCAATGGTCGTTGCTCTGGATCTCCGCGATCTGGTCCCGAACTGATACCAACATGTTCGAACCTGCTGATCCAAGAACTTCCGTGCCGGGGTCCTTCACTCTCACACCCAGGAACTGCAACCGAATCTTGGCCTTGTTGCGTTTCGTGGCTGCAATCATGTTCCCCTGGAACAATAGCTGAAGTCTTTCATTGTACACTCTCTTCTTCTGTTGGTCATCGGTCCTTGAGACCCCTTCGGTGATGCGTCTGCTTTCATGGGTCCATAGTGGCTCATGCCTCACCAAGTCTTCGATCAGCACCCACCCTCCTTCATCACATTTGATGACACTGTTGAATGCCACCTGGCACCGGTTGTCAAGCCATTCCGAGCCTGGGCGCCTGGCGATTCTGTGGCGCAAGTCAGACTGGATGCATGATAGCGCCCAATCCGCATTCAACCTGCGCTGACGGGTGATGTTGCGAAGGACAACTTCGTTCACGATGTCCCACCGATTGTTGATGAAGCTTGCACCTTTGGTTGGGATCAGGTCGAGAATCCCGCACCGGATTGGCCTTCCGCCGCCGATGGATTCATAGCCTGGATTGGTGTAGCTATGAGTGTTCTCGTCGTACACATAGCTAGGACGGTCTCCTCGTTGAGGTAGGCGTCGGTCGCGATGGTCCGAAAGCTGCTCAATGATGTCCACCACTCGCTGGCTATTCTCTGGTCCCGATTCCTGCAGTGGTACGCCACAAGCATCATTTAGGCCCCGACGATTCTCCACATCCGTGCAGAGATTGTGTTTGTTCTCATAACGGATCAAGACCACATCACCCCGAACGGCTTCGCCTCCGCGTCGCGGTCGGGCTTTG